ATCACTTTTTCCACAAATCGTTTTTTTTTTTCGTGACTGCTTAAATACTTATCACCATTAATGATTGCAAAATCCACATTCAAAGGCACACGATAACTATCAAAATATCAAATCATTAATACAAAAATTAAAAAGTTCATTTCATGACGATGATTTTAAGGGAAATTGTTTTAAGGGAGTCCCTCTCCTCCTTACAAAAATCCATTTTTTCGAGAAAAGTCGAAGTCGAGATTTTATCATAGGAAGATACGCTGAAGTCTCCTCTTTCAGAATATATATGCCGTTTTCCCCAAAAGCGCAACTTTTAATAAACTTTCCAAAGGAGATTGAGGGCTACTACCATGTTTTTCAAGAGATTTTCAGAAGTTTTTCAGTTTTTAAAATACATTGCTTTTCTGTTTTAATACATTGTATTTAAAAAACAAAATATACCAAAAGATGCAGCGTGAAAAGCTCTACAATTTCCAAAAGAATAGCTGATTTTATATATGCACTTTTTTCTTTGAAAATGGACAAAATTCTGAAAATGTGTTTTTTTCGAATTTGAATAAAAATATCCATTTTAAAATTTGTTTATCGTTTTTCTCAAAACATGCTTTTCAGGCAGGAAAATGGAAATAACTCCCTCCAGTTTCAATCAATATCCAATATTTTTTTGTTTTGTTTTAAAGGTCTCGACGAGGCTAAACTTTTGTTCAAACGGATTTTTTATAATTGGTTTTTGGGCTGAGAAAAGTGGAATTTACTACCATTTTTTATGCTGATTTGCAGCTCTTATCACAAAAATGCTCATAAAAAATGAACGAGACCGAATTTCAAAATTCTGTTCGAATAATAGTTGCCCCCTGGCATTAGCTTTAATTTGAGTTCAGTCCGACCTCTCTAGCGTGTAACGGGACTGAATTATTTCGGCTCCAAAAATGGGTCATGAATCAGCTGGAACTCTGCCCTATTACAGTTAAAAGGGCTAAAAAAATTTTCAGAAGCGCTTCTCACCAGGACCAGTCATTCCTGAAAATTTCAGCTCAAATGGACGGGTCAAAGTGGAAAATACTTTCTGAGGGGATCCTCCTTAAATAAAATTTCAAACTATAAAAAAAAGTTGCAGATAATATTTTTAGCTGTAAATGAAGAATAAATAATATTCATTCAAAATCATATGAAAAAAAAAGAAAATTAATACTAACCATATACCCGATCAAGCCATGTTCCAAATTGAATTTTTGTAATATTTCGAAAAGGACTATCGATCATCTTGTCTTGTCTCATTTTGGATAAGATTCCCAATGGCATCAGTAAATCTGACTCGCTAAAATGTTGGCCATATTCTATAAGAAGAAAAATAAATTTGATTTACTTTAAAATTAGATTTAAATTAAAAACAAGATAAATAAATGTTCATGAGAAATCTTTATTCTCATAGAATTGTTTTGTGAAAATTAATGATCGTTTTCTTTTTCAGAAACTAGACATACAAAGAAATTATATGAAATCTATTTCTTCACTTTATTAAGAGAATTATTGAAATAAGAAAATAATTTACTTCTATATACTTTGATAGAAGATATATTAGAAGATAATTCATTGAATTGTTCAAGAAATAAATATAATGATGGATATAAATAATGCTGAAACCGACTATCAGCAGTATGCGGGTAATTGAAAATATTTGGATATTTACTAAAAGAAAAAGAATATAATTGAATTGAAAAGATTTGAAAATTTTTCTAAAAACAGATATTTTACATAAGACTATCAGAGGATTGAATTCTTTTAGAAAAAGAAGAGAAAATATGTTGACATGATAGAATTGGATCAAATAAACATTTAACATTTGTCCATTGATATGAAATAAAAAATGAATGAATTTTAAATGAATTAATTATTTTTTCTATATCATTAAATGATAATTGACATTCTGAACAAATATAAAAATTAAAATAAATTAAATTTGGTATTGTATCTGGTAAACAATATTCTCGAATGAAATTAGCATCAATAAAAGATTTCCATATTTTTTGGCATCTGTTTTCATTTAATTTACCACTTTTAAGATAAAGTCGAAGTTTTTCAATATGATTTAAATTGTTGAGAAACCATTTTAAATAAATAAATTCAAAATCTTCATTAATGTAAGTTTGCAAACTTAAATATCTTAGTTTTGGTACCTAAAAAAAGGTTTCAATTGTTTTTTATTAGTCAAAAGCAAAAACTTTTATTTTCTTTCTTTCTTACTTTATTAAACCAATTTCCATTTGAATTTTTCAGCGTTTCAACATTCGATTTCGATAATGGACGTAATACCAATGAAGAATCAAATTGAACTGATATTTGTTCAAGATTTGGTAGATGTTGGATAATATTTTCAAGAACAGATTTACGTTCAAGTCGAATAAATAAATGACGAAGAGTTATACAACAAGATTGATATTGACATAAAAAAGAATTTGATGCTAAATATCGAGGAATCATACCATTCGTTAGTTCTTTGCTAATATCAAGTTGAAGAGTTTTTAATTGACATCGAGAAGAGAATAATTTACAAAGAAATTCTATGAGCATTGTCTTTTGTTTTTCTATTATTTGTCAAAGAAAAATAAATTTTTTTAAATTTTATTTTAGATTTCATAAAATAAAACTTATATTTACAAAATGTCACTTTTTTTAATGATTGATCAAAGTATTGAATGTTAAGAATAAGTATAAAAACAAATTTTAATCTAGACTAAAATCCGTTTTAGATCGATATCTACGAAATATTTTCAAATCGCCTACTTGATGGAGGTAATCGCATTAAAGAGGCTTTGATAGATAACAGTCAAAAATATTTTTTCCGTAAATTACATCACAAACAGTGTCCATACATATATATTTTTTCATTCTGTCCTTAGACTTTCGAGTGTGTCCAGTATTTCATTCACTTATCTACAATCAAGATTTGGAAAGAAGTCCATAATTGAGCTTTGATCGGTTTTATACATCAATGTCAAATAACACGGTTATTTATAATCTTTTTATCACTGGTTGCACAATTAGAAATATATATCGATAAGTGAGTTAGATTTTTTTTTATGTTGGACGAAACTTTTCTCCGTCCCATTCACATAACAACACTGAGTGACAAGAATGAAAAGAACGATGGACTGATTCAAATATTGTCTATATGACCATGCAAGAGAGGATCGATTATACAGTATGGCATCAAAAAAAAAATAGTGTTCACTGCTCAGAAGTGGCTGGTTCTCTTGTTAGAGAGGCTCATTTACAATAAAAATCAATCGATCGATCCGCCAAGTGCTCACATAGAGAAACTTGACTGTATTTCAATTGAATCAAGTAGATGAATATACATAGTGGCATAACCAAAAATTTTCTAAAAGGTGCCTGTCAGAAAATGAAATCTTTAATCCAGTAACTCTCTCCAGCCATTCTTTTCTCTAAGAGAGCTACCTGGACACCATGATCATCCTCCTGGCTATGCCGTGAATATATATCAATTAATTCACATAAACGTGTCTAACATAAACATAATATAGGATCAAAAATGCAACAAGATTTATTTATAATTGCATAGTAATTGTTGATATCTAAGATTCTTTTCATAGGAAGAAAACAATGAATTGTTAACTTTAATAGTTTTACTTCTCATACTAATATCTTTGTCTTAAATCCCTCGACAGATTAGAAGACCTCCCTATAATACAAGATCCCCCCCCCCCCGAGTAAACGACGCAAAAGACAGATTAGAAGATCCCTCCCTAAAAATTGACTTTTTAAAAAAAACTTGTGTAATTTATTACGACTTTTTAGCTTTTATACGTATATCAATATCTGGGATCAGTGTGAACAATATTTTGCTACCGTTATTTTAGCAATCTGTCATTTCGGAATTACATACTTCATGAAAAGAAGCTAAAAAAAAAGAACTATTAATTAAAAAATGTGTTTCTTTACGATTAAAAGTGTTTTGGAGTCACTTTATCGATCCTTTGCATTATATTCTCAATAGAAACTTTGTAAATTTTCTATTGACAAAATTTCTTCCCACGATGATAAGATCTTATTAACACGAGACATAAAAAAAAGTGCCGAAGATGAAGGAATTTTTCTGCAATAAAACCTATCCAGTAAAATTTCCTTGTCTATTACTTATTATCTTGCTCTAGCTATACACTTTCTATGCCTTATTCTGGAAATTCTAACACGTTCTCATTATGGAAGTGCTTATTCATTATTGATCCAAACATCTTTTCGAGAACATGCATCAAGCCGAGTCTTACGAAACATGGGCAATGTGCATGAGGGCGGACTTTTTATCGCAAAAAAAAATGCAAAAGTATTGGCCGAAATGGAGATTTGATGATGAAATGTCGCAAGTGAAAATGTCGAAAACAAAAATGCCAGAAAGCAAAATGTGAAAAGCTGAATGTCGAAAATCCATGTTTCTTTTGATGACAAAGTTTGCCTTGACTCTCATTCCAATTTTATGTGCATGTGCATCGTATCATATTCTATAGATCAAAGCGTAGAAGAAGCTTTCTACCTGGATTCATAAGGAATCCTAGTTTTCGACAATTTGCTCTTCAATATTTTCACTTTCACGTTTTATTTTCGATATTTATCATCTTTCCCAAATAGACATACAGGATCGTAAAAATACTCTCATTATGTATTCAATAGCTCATTCCATAAACTGTTTCTTTTTAAATAACTATGTTCATTCAAATTTATTGTAAACTAATAGCTCCGATCGTCGTATAAATTTTACTATGACCGCATTCAATCTATACTAGTCAAATCTCAACTTAAGCAAGAAGAAATAGCACCTATAAATCGTGCTGAATTTTAAGATGTGCTGTCTGTATTGTTCTGGAAACATTCTTCTTACGAAGAACTGCCTTTCTTACACCAAAAAATTATTTGATTTTTTTCCATTATACGAGCGTTGGTTAGGTAGGATAAATGTATTTACTAGACATCTATTGGACAAAAAAAGCGTAAAAATGAGAAATTTTCGTTCTGACTATTAGAAAAAACGACTTTTTTTTAGGGACATGATTGAAGACCCTCTTTTAACTTGTGAACGATAAGACAGATTAGAAGACCCCGGGTCTTCTAATGTGTCGGAGGCTTTATGAGAGAATCTGGTGAAGTGATAAATCGATTTTGAACTTAGAGTTATGCCATCGAACGGACATGTTAAGATAAAATAAAGGCTAAATTCATTCGAGCTCATCCTGCGTTTTTCTTGAACTAAATGACCATTTCACTCAATTGTCGCTCAATACCAGGATATCTCAACAAATATCATATATAGAAATTCTAATCTGAAAATTTGCACAAAATAACTCTTCTAATACTCTTAACATACCAGCTATTGTAGTTCAAACGAATTACTCTTTTCATAGACATAAAATTCTCAAAGTGGATACTCTATATAACATTTGAAAAAGTACAAAGGACGGGGGCGCATAAGAGGCCAAATCGGCCCATTAAGAATTGTTCGGAATAACCCTATTGAATCATACATCATTTGAAAGAGCAAGTTAAAA